CGTACAGAAGAACAGTAACTTATACGCACAAATATAATCTGGCTTGTCGCTGGCGTTGCTGAGGCAGCTAAAATTTTCTTTTTTCTGCCCAGAACCCGGAATAAAAAATCAGTGTTGCCAGGTCTTGGTAAGGGAGCGTCGATGAAATCAGACAAAACCGCCCGAAATGTGGCCAGGGAAGTATTTATTCACAACAAAACTAAAATTTATTTCAAGCCTCGTTAACAAAAGTGATATTTAGCGCTGGAAAAGGCAGCGATGGTGTAGTCAACCAGCAAATGTCAAAATCTAGTGTCGCTCAGCTTGGCGAGCTGGTATCACGACAAATGTCGTAGTTGGCGCAAACGACTGTGAAACAAAATTTTTAATGAAGCAGCATGCAATTGATAGCTTTTATACAGCACCAGCTGTCTGTATAGCCAATAAAACAAGCGTACTACTTCTTACGACTGTGCTAAGCTTGCGCTGCGTGTCACACGGACACCTATCATAGCGGAGGGAATAAGGCGGTCGCAATCTGCGCATCGCAATTTCTGTTTCTCAGGCTTTGATTTAGCTAACGTCTTCACCAAACGTTTGCGTAATTCTGCACCAAACACAATCTGAGGGGTCTGATCACGATCAAAAGACACCATACAAAGAGTCAGCAACAGAAATCAGGCGATCCTCTTAAAATCGCGAAAAGCAGCATCAGCTGATCCGATTGCAGCATATATTTCATTTCATTATGCCGCAGTTCCGGATGGTACGCAGCTTCAGTAGTCTTGAACTCGATATGCGTGAAAAGCCACGGTTGTACATGCGAGAATGACGCGAAAATACCAAGAGAGAATGACGGCCGTAAAGAGGCGAAGAAGCGCACAATTTTTGTCCCAATTAAATTAAGTGGTAGTGTAAGATGCTAGGCGTTGCCACAAGGTTGGGTTCAAAACTATACAATTCAATACAATAATACCGGTTCAGCCACACCGTGGGTTCAACGCTTCACTCAGAAATAAACACTGGCTACGAACTTGATACGTGACCCAGCATGGTCACACGTGTGTGTAGTTTTAATCTCGGATACACCTCGCTCTGATTGCGACATACGCCAGACCACGTGAACACAATACGGCAGCTCGTAAAATACAATAACTAAGCGTATACACGTGCATGCTTCAATAGTAAGAAATGTGCAAAGCCATAACAGTCCACCTAAGCCTGTCCACTATTAACTCAGTCCTAACAACATTACAAGTATACACTCTAGAAAAGTACCTGATTATGCTACCAGCGAGGGTATAAGCAAAACATCGCCAAATTAACGAGGACTATAGAAGAGTGTGCACGAAACGAGTGCTAAATTTCAGCATTTTTACAGCTTAACCGTTAAGGAAAGCTCTGCATCTGTGCGAAGCGATTGGTCAGATGATTACTCGTGTTTTAAGGCACAGCAATTGTACCTGCTTCTTTTCGTTGCAACGATATTATAGCACACCACATTATCACTGTTTCATATATTAAACTGCGGAGCCACCACTCTAGTATGGGATGGTTCTTTGAGAAAGAGCTTTAGTCTCAGGGCTCTGATAAAAGAGAAATAAAGAAGAAATAATGGTGCATATGACAACTCAATCATGAAATTGATGTACTGCATAAATTATATTAGAAGCACTTTCTCAATTGGGCTGCAATTCAAAAAAATTTTTGAGGCAGCAATACCAGATTACGCATATATTTACAGGTTTTGCCGACTTTACTCAGCCCAATGTGTGCTGTCTGTTGATGTTACTGTGTTCTGCGATTGGTGCTAAAGTTTAAATCAGCATGCCGACGGCATAGCACCAACAGTCAACTTAGCCTACCTGTTTCAACCCAGCATCTCACATTCATATATGATGTCAAAGATATATGATGCAGCAATTTCCCTCAAAATTGGCCTCATGTGGTTCAACCACCAAATCCTTTAAGAAGATGTGTAGATTTCAAATAACATACTGATAGTGACACCGCTCATCGTGTCTGATCTTCTATATATGCTATGCAGCATGACAAATTCCAGACATACAATTTAGAATTTTCCCCAGCATTGAATTCTGTCATGCTTGCCTCAACAACCTACGTATCGCGAGTTTATCAGATGAGCACAGTTCACATCTGAATTCTGTAATCCAACATCTGAACAAGGTACATTTGTCAGCATAAACAGGTGGGCATTTGATGTCCAAAAGCTCACCGGTCCTATCCTCGTGTTCACCGCATCCAGTATTCAGCTCTACCGAGGCAGAATTAGAGGTGTTGAGAGCTTCCCATCTCCGAATACTAGATGCTGATAAGACCTACAAGCTCCTTCGTCTTATTTTTGTGAACTACGTACTATACTAACAGTTTGTATCATGGTGCCAGGCCATTATACATGTTTCCTCCACTTCGTGCTATTGATACACAGAAATGCTACTATATTGAGCTCCCTTAGACCAAGAACTCCCATAAAAACTTTTGGGGATCAACAGATGCTTGCGCGACAGTATATGCTACTCCCTAAATATGAAGTGAGAGTTCCACTATGCATCATCGTACGACATCTTGAATGCATCTTGTGCTAGATCACCGACTCGTCAAAGGAGTACATATGGCGGCCAATCAGATCCCTGGCATGTCCTGAAAACCTATGCCCACTATCTGAGCAGCATCACAGCATTTTTTGTGGAGACTGAAGCCAACAGATCCTCAAAATGTCACTGTAATATGTGGTTGGCCCTGTAATCATATTCAGCAATGTGACAATGTGACTGAATCTTGAAGTGCCGCAAAGCAGTCTACTCAGGTGGTACGTACACCTGCCTGATGCTATACTACACCTTATGTTATTTGGCAAGAAAGTCTTTGGATCTTCTGTGTACTTGGGTGTATGTGAAAGACTCTCTAATTGTGATATACCGAATTGTGCTTACAAGTGGGCATAAATGGTAAGTGATTAGGTAATTACATTATACATAGACGAAATTACGTGATTTCTTTGTCGTAGAATACGTGAGTACATCTCTTATCGGTTCTTGTTACAGTCCCTCAGTTACAATCGTTGCATCCATATTCCCATGAACTGCAGCAGATGTCAAACATATCCGAAGCATATCATAGGAGCTGTCAACATTGTCATTGATGCCCTGTCACACAGCCCAAACAACATGTTGACCTGTCCCAGAGAAATATACACCTTAAAAAAGTGGCGACTTGTTGACATGACAACAAATTCTGCAATCTGCAAGAAATAGAAGCTTCGACGCTACTAGACTTTCAGTGTTGCAGAGTTGTTGGCCCGTAACAGGAGACATATTAGCTTCAACACATGCTGTGACCCAAGAACTGACCATTTATGCCCACTTGCAAGCACAATTAGGCATATTACTATACTGTCTTTCATGCTCAAATACGCGGGAAATCCAAAGGCTTCCCTGGCAGATAAAGTAAGTTGTATGGCATCACGTGGGTTTACGCACCACCTGTATTGAATGCTTTGCGGCACTTCAAGATTCAATCACATAGTCACATTGCTTGATATGTTTGCAGGGCCAACCACTTGATCCAGCGACGTTTCTGAGGATCTTATTGTGCCATTGACTATACTGCTGCCTTGTAAAATACAAACTTGTAGGCTTGTGTTGATTGCATGGTTCAGCGTTGGGTGGAATATATTCTTACTCTAGACATTTCTAGGTCACGCACTGTTGCAGACATTGGTTGCAACACTGTAAAATTTGCTTTAGGCGTGACTGTAGGTCTACCCAGGGACAATGTCCTTTTACTCTGATCGACACGAAGCCCAACTTCCTGCCAGTGACTACACATCTCATCTATGTTACATCATAAAGAAGCTTCTACCTATAGCTGTGAGACAGCGCATTGGAAGGCACTTATGGTAGCAGTGAACTAGACTCTTGTAGATGCATGCATAATGAAATATGGGCTAACCATGCCTCATTGGTGTCATGCTGTCAATTTTTAAAAAGCCTTTCTCTCAAGTAACGTTTACTGAAGTTTTATGAAAACAAGACAGATGATTCACTTCCTATGCAGAAGTCATCATCAGTGCACAAACGGCCTGAAACAGCAAAAATATCCCACTCACATTCCTCATAAACATTCCTCATAATGTCATGATTAAAATTGCATAATAACTGATTGTCAAGTCAATCTAGCTAATAAACCTTTTACCAGCATCATTTCTTCAGGCAAAGCGAAGATATTCTTTCTGTGTTTTTGCATTTGTTATATCTGAAATATTAATTTATATGCGAAAAAATGCCCCTTTGAATTTGTGACACCTGAGTTATGATGGCAACAAAAATCATTGAATAACAGCTGTAATGTTATCATATGATTCAGCAGATTTATGTTTTGCATGGGTTTACAAATGTGCTAGTTCTCAAGTGCCACAAATAAAAAGTTAGAATGAAATTTCAATTTTTGTTGCCTTTTACTTATGCTCAAGTGCTATGAAAAATAAAGTGTAACTTCATGTTTGCTGTGAGCTTGACTCCTGCAACCAGACCTCACTTGAAAAAGGTGTAGGCACTATTCTAAATACCTGAATTTTCAATCAGTTGGAATAAAAGACGGTGTGGTCTTGCATCTTGAGCTTTGTTTCAATTGTAGATCAACAAGCTCGTGGTCGTAACTCATGCTTAATTGTCTTTTCTAACTTATTCACATCATAAAAGCACTGAAGCTTGTAAAGCCGTATTTGCAAAAATAAAGATTAGGACCGTGCATGTGCCCCTGAAGAGCAAAAATCAATATTCACGTAGCCAATATGATGAATGCTGTGAACCCTGTCGTACATCAAACGGCCCTCCAAACATTTTGAGAGGTATGCTTGGTCATAACTCTGACATGGTTTAGTAATACAACTATAGGAGCCAGAAAGCTTGAGTAGGACTGGAAGGTCAAGTTGGTATGGATTCATAATATTGGAACAGTACATCGAAGAAGACTAAAAAAATGAGCCACAGCAACACAAGTGCCGATTTGCGACTGAAGTTTACTCAAAATTACAGAACAGACATATACATCCACTTGGCAATATGCAAAACTGACCAGCAATACCAAAAATAGAAAAACAAGTTGTACACAAAAGTTAACGATTTGTTTACTCTGCAGTATAATTGAAAGAAAGCTGTTGCATGATTGTTTTTCATTTTGACTGTACCTTCTGAATTAGTTCCCCCATTTTTTTTCAAAACATCATCACAGGACAACTCAGGAAGCCTGTGCTCGTGCACGTTACTCAAAAGTCTTTTTTCCTTCTTTGTTGTGCCAATCCAAAAACCAGAAAGCTTGCTGGATCTCAAGATTAAATATAGTAGTTCTTCCATTACTTGTTTATGTGAAAATCCACTAGTATGATATGAGCTCTTTTTGACTTCACTGTTGCCAAAATTTTTGTGTATTCTCTGCCTGAGTAGTTAATTTTTGAGTCAACTCTAGCACACTGAAATAATGCTACTATGCAGACTCCCGGCAGCTTTATTTCAATGAACTGAAGTTTTAGCTGACAGTAAGTCAATGCAGCAAATTTTCCTGCAGTTCACTGAATCACACACACATTCAAGGCAAATCAAGTAAGAGGACAGCTAGTGATGGCATTTTTCATACTGAAAAAGTTGTTTGTAACAAGTCACAGCATTAGATTTTAAGAAAGGCCGTATAAATTGAAGGAAATGTGAGCCCTATTTATATACATTTAATAATAATAATAATAATGAACAAGAGAGCCGATCTGACAGGGGTTATACAAGAAAGTACGTTGAATGTCATTCTCTGATCAGCTTGCCAGCCTCACTTTAGCTTAAGCAAGCCTGGCTTTATCCACTCATTAGATGTAGAAAAAGAGTTGAAACACAGTACAAATATTTCCCTATAATATGCACAGTGTCATTAGAGCAACGATTCGGTTTTTTAATTTCTAACACAGTTCAAATTTGCAATAATAAAAGACATCTCAAAGCTTACATGCCTCTCTTACTGATGTTTATGTCTTTCATGCCTTTCATTAGGCACAACTACTACACTAACATGTCAACGTGAATATAGCAAATGGCTCAGACGTGAAAGGTGGTCAAAGAAGACCATGGAGGCCATTGCTCATTTATTCGAAGAATACCATCTGCATGCAGCCCCACCAGTGCCCTCTGTCTCCATTCATTTGAACACACTCCCAGCAACGATGAAAGTGGTGAGCTTATCAGAGAAAAATTTGGTGAGACGGTTTTTATAAACCTGGAAGCAAGAGTATTTTATTCACGTAAAGATGAGTTGTGTGTGTGTGTATGCCCCTGTTTCACATCATGGCGATGGGCAGCAGGTCATCGGAATATTCTTATTGTGTTGGTGAGGTCGAGATTTCGGTTGGGAACATTGAGTGTTCCCAGATGTCTTGCAACATCCACTCTAGCATAAGTTCATGGTTGCTGGTTGACGTGTTCTTTGTGTCACATTGTAGTCTGCCTTAATGTCTCGTCCACTTGCAGTCAGCACTTTTGAGGGTATGTTCAAGAGCTGTACTGAAGCAATTGTTGGGAATCCAGGTCCAAGTATCTCCCACCAGTGCAAAGGAGCCGGATTTGAGTGATGGCTTTTTTCTCTATCAGTGTGTATTCTATTTAGGGTTCTTGTGCAAGAAAGGCATCGAAGGAAGGTTTTCATGACTTTTTAGTGCTGTGCATGAAGTGCTGACATACCTGAAAGGTTTTTTCTTTTTGTTGTCGTGTTGTCTCAGTCAGGGCATCTCGTTCCTTTATGATATTTCGCTTCATAGGAATGCCCTTTGCATGCTTCTTCAGTAATTTGTACTATTATGAAAGCGGGTACTAGCATGTGTTGACTGTAGTGCTTTTCTTTGGTGTTCCACATACTTCTCGCTAGATTCATTTGCGCAAAAAGCAAGAAGTCAAAGTATGGTGGTAACATTTGCTTTGAGTTTTCTGTTATTTTTATTGTATTTTAGCCAAGGTTGGTGCCAGGATCGGTCTGTACCGGGGCTGCACCCACGATAAGCGAGGTCCTTCAAGAGGAGCAGAGAGGCGGGGAACTTGGCCATTGTGTGATCACTATGTTTCCTCTTGGGAACATAGTCGTAACACATGGTCATAACACAACACAGGGGTCCAGCGAAAATTGGGGGAGGGGGTGGGCCTCAAGTCCAGCCTCCCTGAGCCTACCCTGGCAAGAAGCTCGATTCCAGCCTGTGTCATTTGACTGCTGACGACCTCATGTGACTGCTCTCCCTTGCGCACTCATTGTTTGTCAGTTAATTACTCGCTTTATCAGTTGAAGGCTAACCATGTGATGAAGACGAGGCGCCGTCGGTTCTTGTTTTGTCATTTCCTGATGGTGTATATTTAGTATTTTTTCTCAGTGTATTCTTATTTAACTTGGCTGGAAGATCAGCATCATTACAACTTCGAAGTCTTAGCATGTTTTATGGACTGTAAAAGTAATCGCCGCTCTTTTATCCGGCATTCTGTTTTGGATGGTTGGCACGTCAGTACTTCTCGTCTCAGCTGGCGAGTGTTTTGTAAGTAGGACTTTGTCGCTGCAGCCTCCTGGTACTGGATGCAGTGCTCACTCAGCCAGCCTTATTGGCACAGCAGAAAACATGAAAAATGTGGACTGATCACTGCAGGTGTGCCCTTTCTTGGTTGCGGCCGGTGTATCTTTGCAGTGGTGATGTCCTGAGTATGTATTACTGGCTCGACAGGCAAAGCCTCTTCTTTTAGTTAACTGCAAATCACGTGTGAAGAGTACTATTAACATTTGCTAAGAATATAGCCCCTTCAGGTGTGAATTATAAAGCACTGTCAACAAATGTGGCAAATTGAGATAGCACAATCATAAGGCACTCAATATTACATTCCATGAAAGAAAATAAAGTGTTCTTTTGTGTGAGCTTCAGCAAGCCATTACGATTGCTATGAAATTAAATACTTCATCATTCTGAAGTAAGTTATATTTAGTTTTGACATAAAAAAATGAAACTATAAACTCCTGATGTGTGTGCAATTAGTTTTTAATTGCATTAACTTTGGGAGAAGAAAAGCAACACTTGACGTTGGTTTTAGAACACGATTTGAACGACCCATAAAAGATAACTTTTCCTTCACTAGAGTGATCAGCTATGGTTGTGCGCAGCAGACTGAGGTCAAGTCAGGACATACTGACTAGGTAGAAGGTTCAGTTCATTTAACTAACTGTGTATTTTACTCTATTCGGGCCTCAAGTTGACACAGCTAGCATAAAGAAATCGCATACACAAATGTCGCCACTGATGCTAAGGAGTTATGTTTGTTTCTCTTAGAAAAATGTTTCAATTTGAATACATAAGGTCGCATAAACCTTGAAAAAATGCTTTAACATGACCCGTGGACTTATAACCTGTGATATAGGCGGAACTTTGTGTGGTGGAGGGATAGGGAGATGGCATCCTTGGTGTTCAGTGCAAGCAAGTCGAGTATGTGTTATTTGGTTCTCGGTATCCCATTGCTGAAAATTTCAGGGGTGGGCCATTTGCCCAGTGTCCCATTCTTTGGCTACACCACTAAATTAACTATGAAGCACCCATCTTGCACTTTTGTGCCTTCAGTGGCTCATCAATAAACTGCCTGTCTGGTGGACATCACCATTTTAGCCGTTAATAATACAGATAAGCTAAATATATTGATCTTCTTGTGAAAGTTAAAGTGAAAAGTGTCGTTTCAGCTTGAAAAGCCTTGAGAAAACATGTTCATATGCCACATGAATATGAAATCCAATGAGAACTTCATGCGTGTAGAGCAGTATAAGTCACAAAGATATGAAATATGGGAAGAGTGATATGCACCAGCTGCTCTGGCCAACTGAGCCATTTCTTGCTTTTAGTTCTGTTTGACTGTCTCTCTGATTATAGGACGTCCTGAATACACATACACCACGAAATTGCTCACAGAGTATGTGATAATTAAGACAAAAGAACCAGTTATTCGCTGATCACAACAATCCTGTTTGCTATACTGCACTGAGTCTGGAGAAAGGAAACTGTAAAAATATGACTGAGCTAGATTGAGGAACACTGTGAGAAAGAAATTGTAAGATCTCACATGCCAAATATATAAAAAATGCACAGCTGCTGACAACACAGGCAACAGTCTTTAGTACTGCAAACAGTCACTCACTCATAGCTTAAGATTTATTTATAGATAATGCCTTTCAGTTGTGAGGACCAGTACTGACACCAGATTTCAATTGATCCTCCTCATGTTCTGGAGATTACAACAATGTTTGACAGATTTCTCGGTTCGTATCGTGTACGTCCATTGATTTCTCGAAAGACAGCCAGCAGGCCTTAGCGGCCCCACTAAACGGAAAATTAATAAAGGACAGCGATTGTAAAATAAAACTCTCTACTGTACAGGATTCAGCTTGCCATATTTGTGCAGAGCACTTTCTTCTTTTCACAGACTTAAAAAAGAAAAGCAGGAAGGAGGAGGCGGAGAGGGGCCTGTGGTTCTGTATTTGATCAAAAGAACACGACGCTGTAAGCGTGCGTGTTCCTTGTTTATAAACGATTTAGCCTACGTAGTATGTGTTCTATGCATCAGCCCGTATGAACTCACAGAAACGTTTTTTTTGCGCGTCGTACTGCGTAAGCTAGCTGGTGTTTTGGCTACAGTAGGGCATTGTATATATATCATCAAAATAGTGAACAAAAAAACGTTCCACAACAAAATTGTAACTGGTGACGACCCACGGAGACAAGGTGCCCGACGCCCACGCGCTCCACCGCACTTTACCAACCGCTCGCTGCAATGTTGTAGGTATTTCGTGTGGTCGTTGCGATACTGGATGCGAGCGTCGGTGCGTATGTTGTACGATTCAATCACCGTAATGCAACTGATCACTCAAGTTCCCACACGTCAAGCACGTGTGTGCCGTTAACTGGTACAGCGCTGTGAACGCGAAAAAACCAATGGCGATAGCATAGCAGGACACACGATACGATACACTTTGCGTCCATTATCCACGAAATCGAAAGCGCTTGGCGTGGCATCGCTGGCGTGATGCGACAAAACGAACGCCGCCGGGTCCCGTCGAAGTGGGTCACGTACGGCAGTGGCATCCGCGGTTGCTTCATCGCACAGGTCTGCACAATTTTCATCTGCAAAAGCACCGGATCGGACGTCTGACAGGTGACAAACTTGATAAATGTTTATCAGTAAAATAGTCTACTTTGCGCAACTTCAATCGACAATCATGCATAACAACTAGGTGTGCCTGATTTATTGACAAAAAGTAGATCACTCATGCGCCTGGCATATTACTTTCTCGAACTTGAAAAATCGAACGTGAGTGCGACAAGAACAGCGCCAAAAGAAGCAGACGCAGGTATAAGCTCATAACGCCGGCAATAACGTTTGAACGACGGGCCAATAATGCCAGCCTATTTGCATGGCTCCACTCATATTGGCTGTTGGTTGTACAACTCGGTCTAATGTGGCCGTTCTAATACGCTGGCACGGCCAATAATAGCAGGAAGTTCTGAATGCTGGTCCAACATCACTGTTCTATTTGGCTAGCCATTATTGGCGGAAGATTGTCAATGCTGGCTCGATATTGCCATTCTATCAGGCTAACACAACCATTATTGGCGGTACGCTGTCAGTGCTGGTCCAACATCATCAACATCGTCATAGTTCAACATCATCATAGTACACACTAAGTAAGATAACATTTTTTTAACTTTTAAAATACAGGGTGTGAACACAATCTTGCCCTATCAGTGACATCAATAATTATACAGTTAGCTTGTGTTCTCTTAATTTTTAGGATTTATGAAATTTCTGAATGTCTAAGCAGCATTTGCGAAAAATCAAGAAGTTTTACGATTTAGGCTTATGTCCCTCCGGCAAGCGTAATTTCAGTAGTTTGCGCAGAAATGTTTGCAGTGGGATACATTTTTTTTTTCGAAGACGGTCATTTTTATTGTTGTCAATGTTCACAGAAGCTCCAACTTCATTAAACACTTCATCTACCTCGTTAACAACATTGCCAATGACCGTCTATGAACATCTACGCTGGCATTCAAGGTGCCTGCAAAGACTTGTCAACATTTATCGCACTACTGCACCTTGCTCACTCCAACGTTACTGGAACCAGGTCAGTTTCGCAGCTCCCCGTAGGCGCGTGCTCTCTGAAGTGGCCGTGGTGGCTGACGCTAGAACTAGTGGCGCTGCTGTGCCATTTTGCTTCAAGCCGCGCGCGTCGTCTGCTGCAGCGCGAGTGATTCGCGTTCTCGTTGCAGCTCTCGTCAGTCGTGATAACCGAGATTCGCCATAGACACCATAGAGATTCGCCATAGACATAGACACAGGCAGAGAAAGCTAGTAGGCCACTTTGTAAACACTGTACAGTGTTTACGATGAACACTAATGGTTGTGGGCACAATATACAGCTACCACCTCGTTACACAATAACAGTTTTTTGTAGTAGCAGCTCTTGGTGCAAGATTTTTGCAGTAAAAAAAGCACCGCACGTTATCCCTGACACGGCATCATCGATTAATTTTTGGCTCCGGCACACGGAAGGCAACGAGAAGTTCATCGCTTCATTGAGCGCGAACGGTGTAGCTGAAGAGACGTCTGATCTTCCCTATTTTATTTTCTGGCATGAGCTCATCCCTAGCACGTGTGTGTGTGTGTGTGTGTGTGTGTGCGTGTGTGTGTGTGTGTGTGTGTGTGTGACCTCCTTGTTCTTGTCGTCACATGTGCCTTCGATATGCGCTCTGGCAGACCGGGAAAAAAGCGAGGTGATGCCTTTGGCAGTAGCGACCATTTTCCTCGAGGTGGAAGTATTTCGTTTCCCGTTTATAATGTACTTATAATATTTGGCATTATCGTGCGCCTCAAAATGTCACTCACATATAGCGGACTTGTGAGTCAGCCACCCATCCTTGCGGCACAGCATCTGTGCCCATTTTTAACGCGACAGCGTTCAAGAGTTTGTTTCGTAGAAATGCTCACGTCGGCGTCGGTTTCGTTGGTTGTGAGCGAAATATAATCATCTTTGGCGCGACTGGAAAACTGAGAAAGATGCAAATATGAAAAATTCTGGGTCTGAGTGGGGGTCGAACCCGGGCAGTTTGCGGGGAGAGCCGGAGTTCTACTACACAGGCATGGGTGTGCTTTTTAGAACCTTTTTATTGAGAAATAAGTAAATACATATTCATAAAAACCATATTGGTCTACTCGCACCACTTTGACGGTTTAAAAGCGGTTCATTTTCACCAATTCATCAAACACCTGCATACGATTTTGAGGTTATATAAACGTTTGATCTATCTTGCGCACATATTACGCATTCCATGAAGTTTCCCGTGCAGATTTTGCTTTAGGATCCATGTGGATCACGGCCATGCGTTTTATCCAGATATTGTAAAGGCCCAGTATTTGCGTCATAATTTATGGAACACCACCCTCATTCTGTATTGAAATATAACGTATGCCATGAGGTGTTATCGGCAGATATTTTTTTCAGGGTCTTTTGTACCACATCCCAAAAGAATATCGGATCCCAGCACTCACTCACAGCATGTCCATCCGTTTCCGGCTCATAACACAGAGTGCAGTTTGTGTACATGCCAGACATAGCCAGGAGGTAGCACACCGAGCCCGTGCCCACCCCACCCTCCCGGAAATTTTTTTCGCGATAGCATAGAGAATAACAAATGACCATTTCAAGGGGGTGCCTTGCCCGAAATGAAGCAGGTGCCCTACGCCCGATTCCCCTCGAAAAAAATTTCTGGCTACGCTTTGCTTGACTGGAGTAGATGCGCTGGCAGCAACAGTACCTTCAACCAGTAGTGGGGCACAACCCAACATCAGCCTCCCAACACTCGTTGAAGGACGCGCTTCTTCATTATTCCTTAAATAAGATGAAATAACAATAGCCGATTACACAACATACACGCGATACCCCCCCCCCCTCACTCTGCGACGCATTTACTCGACTTCTTTCCGCGGGAACATGCGGGCGGCTTTTTTTAAACTCATCGCGATCCCAGGGTGGCTCAAAGAAATGATGATCAATGTCATTTCCGTAGCCGCTTTTGCGGCCCGGGGCACAACAATAAGGCATTGTTTATTGGCGCTCTTGTCACATGTTAGAACTCTTTCTTAAGGGACGACAGTTCACTAAATAATGGCGCGAAGAAGCAACCGAGCGCCGAAAACGTGTTGTCGTGTCTAAGCGCCCACACGTGCGTCGCGACGCGCGCAAGACCGAACAGCAGCGCCGTTAGTTCACGCGTCAGCCGCTCGTGCCGGCGCGCGCGGAGCTGCGAAACTGACCTGGTTCAAGTAACGTTGGCCCATTCTCTGTGAAGTCTTCAGAAGAGATCTGCATATTGTTCTCATTATGATCAGATTCTTGTCTTAAGTTACTGTTACTTGCCCATTTACTTTTGCACACTCTTGGTTCATCTTGGTAGTGTGTGAGGAAAGCAAACCTAGTCTTTGACAATGTACTATAAAAATTGTATTTTCACCCTAGTGAGTTTTTGTGTGGCTGGCAAATACATGAAACGTAGTGCAAAAAAATGCCTCAAATGGAGCCCACATGCTGTCCAGCCAAGGATTGCCGTACGTTTTCTTCTAGTTTGCTTGTGACCACTGCTTCATCCATATTGGTAGTGTTCCCAGGTAAATCCGCATGTGTAATTTTTCACAGTTGTGGAGGAACAATAGTCACAATAATAAGAACCAAGATGTAATTTCACTGAGCTAAGTACAATTAAACATATAAAAAACTTGTGCAAAAACTGTTGTTCTGAAGTTTATGGTAAGAGATCTTGAGTAGAGTAGTGCATACAATTGATGTGAAAGGAAGTAATAATGCAAAATGCGTTTATTTGGAGTACACTGAGAGCTTTCAAATTCAAGTAACAAGGCACTGATATAAGTTTTGAATAAAAATTTTAGCTTCAACGTAGCTTTGGGTATGAAGGCTGAAACATTTCAATAATATACAATGAAAATCATTATTTGGCCAACATTGGAAAGACATAACTCCAAAATGTCAATCTTGAGAGTACGTACTTGAGGCTAAGGTTATCCAAGGCACAGACATTTAGTAAACTTGAATAGATATCGTGAAAAAATGACTAAGCTTACTAGGAAACTACCATTTTAAATATTATACCATAAACTACCAACTAATTTTAATTCTCTGTGGGTAATGAGCTTGGAAGTAGAATTGTGCAATGTGCCACAATTGACCTCTAGATATGCAGTTAGCTATAAAAATAATCTTGTATAATCAATATAAATGCGCACTAAAAATGAAAGGAAAATAGAAAAATGAAGATGGAAGCTTTGCACTCCTGCAGCATAAATGCACTAGTTTTTTTAGTAAGTAAATACTATTAATGAATAATGTTCAACAATTATCTTTTGATACTAATAGCGGCTTTCAAATAGCCTTTGTGCATACTTGCTTCCATTTATTGTTTCCCCACTTTGCATTTTTTGTCGATAGCAGTACTGCGGTTGCACACCTCCCTCTGCGAAAATTCCGCACTTCATGAAGGTGTTGCAGTGACTTCTAACTATTAATGCCACTTGCGCCAGGACAGTTCAAAGCAGCTGTTATGAGGAAGCTATCTATTTATAGCCACATAGTAATGAATATTAACCTGACGCTTTTTAATGAAATAAATCCACAGAAACGCATGTCAATTCAAGACTACAAGAACGTAATATGCAATATAAAAGGGTCGTTACATGAAATATTCGCCTTTGATTGTTAAATAATGTTTTCGACAACAATAGTACAATTTCATTCTTGCTGTTTGTACAAGTCTGCAAGATAACGTAAACCTTTTAACATAGCGACATGACATAGATATTTGAAAAAGCAAGCAATCTATTACTTATGCCACTCTCCCTTGAAGTAATACTTCATAAGTGCCTGCAAAGGGTCAATATCGCAACTGGATATCGCAACTATGCAATTGGTCCACATTCTTGACTTGTTGGCTTATTGCCAGTTATAGCTGTTCGCTCAGCCCTCCTTATGATGATGATTTTTTGAATCACAAAATGATGTTACTTGCAAACGATTTACTGTACCACTGTTTATCCTAGGAGCAAAATATTCACTGTATGAGTCATAGTTTGTATAAGGGAGTCAACTGTTATATTTTTATGAGATGCTTGGTTACCAGTAGTGAGGTTCGCAGCTCCACCTGCTTGATTTGGTGAGCTTGGGCGAGAAGTTAAAGGCTGGCTTAGCCCTGCATATGTAAAAGGTATATTAGACTTTAAAAAATATCTGCACACAAAAAAAGGGCCATCACCGTGGAACCGATTCTTACACATTCACCCCATCTATCACAAGGGTCGGAGAGTCGCTCTTGCAAAGGCTATCGTTAAGAGCTGTGAGGCTACATATATGGCTGTATTCTCTCTTTCGACGCAGCCCAATACAAGACAAGCGACAGGATTCATATACCAGTTGTTGAAGAATGAAGAGCACTAATCAATGCAGCATCAGTGCCAACAAAACATGTACATCCTTTCTACATGTTTTGTACAGACAGCCATATATCCCTGGAACTTGATACAGCTGAACAGCCATCACCATCTACTTTGATTCACGTACGGCGGTAACAACCTAAACGAATGGTTTATTATCATGCCAAGCTGCTACCATCATTTACAAACCTCAGCGAGGAGAAATAAATAAAAGGTCAGTGGTCCCCACATTCTGTGATTACCTGGTAGCGTCAAAAGTATTTCTGGAAGCAATTCCCATGAGCCTACATAGTGTGGGAGTTTTCGTGCCAAGCTGCAACCTATGCACCCACCCATTCACAGGACCCTCTAACCACATTTAACAAAATTACTAACTATTGGCAGAGATTCCCTCCACGAAATTCCTATTTCAACAACACCCAATCAGCTATTTTCAGACCTTTACAGACACACTTATCTTACTTCTAGAGCCTTCAATTTATCCAATTCCAATTTTCCATCATCGTGTTATAAATGTGGCACGAAGCCTGCTTCTTCGACCGAATGCTTTTGGTTTGCTCATTTAACGTAGGCTGCATTCTACACAATGTGGCCACGTGGCGTGAAGCTAATACGCATTCGCACGTCATGCATGAACTCCAGGCTGTCCAAAAGCTCATGTCATCGTCAGAAACACGATCTCTTAGCACCGAAGTGACTGGTCTCACAGCCTCTTTTAGCCTTTTAATATACTGCGCAAAAAAACGGACCGACACTTGTGGATAATTTCAAACTCACCCAACTAGCCCTAGCCATGCCTCTTTTAGTCTTGTCTTTCAGGACTCAAATAAAGTTTTTTATATATTGTGCCCAACAAACAAGCACTTCGCCCCATCAGTCATAGTTGGCTAAACCCAAAAAATATTCATACCATAGACAACAGCTCCTTTTTGATCAGTTGCGGCTGCTCTGGACACCGGTGGTGCAGAGAAGTCCCAAAAAGTTGGTAACACCAGGCTGCAATAAAAAATTATTTACAAAGACCTAGGGCCAGCAAATTTCATTTACAGTCACACATTGCGAGAGCGAGCCACATGCTTAATCTGGACATTGTTAAAACCACATGCTGCTGCTCCTCCCGATTCGTCTACGAAAGTTGCTGGTGGCACTGAAGGTTAATTCAGCCCTGCAAAAGCATAAAAGGAATCAGGCTACAGTAAAACATTATCTACGGTGCCTTGGAGGAAAATTGTTTGCAGCATAAGTCACAACTTTGAAACGCCAGTCAAATGTTTATGCGCCATGCACAACAATGCTTTACTCACCAGAAGCCCCCGCTTAATCTGCACGGCTACTGTGCATGACGACTGTTGGACTGGCCCTACGTGGTTGAAAAACACAAATTTTAATCTACATGGATGTGCTATTACTGAAACTTGATCACTAACGTTTGACTGAGTGACTTCTTTATCTGGGGTTTTACATCCCAAGACCGCAATATGATTATGAAAGACTCCGTAGTTGAGGGCTCCAGAAATTTTGACCTTTGGTGTTGTTTAATGTACACTGACCTCAAACAGTACACACGCCTCTACATTTCGTTTTCATTGAATGAAATATGAAAATTACAATAAGAGTTATTGTCAGAGTACCTCAGCTCACTCACAAAGCCCACTATGTGTACACAGATGCATTCAGTGAATGGTGCTTATGTATTTAGACTAATATCACAGCGTTACAGAGCAAACTCGGCTGTCAATGCACACATCTGAAAGTGGTGCCCCAACCTGCTTATATAATATGGTGTCGCGAAGGTAAGATCTCACGAAAAGCTTTTTTTTCTTTTTCAACTACAGCTGGAGTTCTTTCTTTGTGAGATGCTCTTGTTAGAGGAGCTATTTCATGACTTTCCTCGAAGAGGGAGCCCCGAGAAAGAACAGTGTCGAAAGAGAAAAAGGTGCATCTGGTCGGTGACTGTGTGCCCCATGTCCCAAACGAGCGAGTCACCGCTTGGGTTCTCAGGGGCAATCAGGGACTAAACTTTGAGCTTTTATTTGCGCGTCAAGGCTGTTTTAGAGAGTTTGCCCGTTTCAAGAAGCTGCTACAGTTTTGTTGCGAAACAGGATTCACGTGACCATGTAAACTCGTGTTGGGATTGGTTATCCTGGGATTGCGTGATTGGTCCTTATAAGCCATTTACCAATTGGTGCAAAACAGTGATCTTCCGCGTGGTCCACGCATCCGTGAATGATAAAAGACCATATTTAAGTAGCCACTCGGGATCTTTTTGGGGTGAGCTGACTCGGGGTCAACAGCGCATCCCACTATCGGAAACCAGTCATGCAAGCCGATAGGGTCCACCATCAATTTTCATGTTTTGTATTTGTGACTTAGTGCATTGTGTGAGTTGCATTAGATAAATAAACCCCCATTGAGTGCTCCCCTGATTCATCGTGTCGGGTAGTCACCGTTTGCCTGTGTGGAAATTCTCCCACGCGTCCTCGTCTGGATGGTCAGCCAATGTGTCTAGCTTAAACCATTCCAAAATTTCGCTACAAAGTGGTGGAGGTTGCTTGGTAACAATATTACCGCTCAAGAATTAAGCCCTGAGTCAGTAAAAAAATAAAGAAACAACTTCGAACTTTTATACTATGACGGAACCTCCTACATTCCTCTCCGCGATGTCTACCCCCAAAGCAAAACCTTTCGTCGGACAGCCAGAGTTCAGAGGCGCTACAGAGAAATCTTACTTCTGAGTGGCTACTTTGCTACGAGCATGCAACGTCATTGAACAATAGCGACCAAGCCACAAAGGTTAATTTTTTATATTCGGCATGAAATTTCGAAGCAAAATAGTGGCGCACATGACGCAAAGTCTAACGCGTGCCCCAAATTCATGGGAAAAGTGGGCGACGCTCTTGAAAACTTCATTCACAAGTTGGCACTCAATTGAGATTGCCTAATCGCATCTACAAAACCAGACCCAGCAGCCTTCTGAAACACTCGAGCAGTATTACTATGATGTCTCACAGCTTTGTGCTAGAGTCTACCCGTCTATGAGAGAAGACAATCGGTTGCGACAACTTTTGCGCGGTTTGCGTCCGGATATTCAGGAGAAAATGATAATTGCAAACCAGGAAAGCTGCACTGCATTCTTCCAAACTTTGCAGCGCATTAATCAGGCTTCCTTACTGAGTCGTGCGTCAGGGCCCCAGCCGATGGGCGCCTACTATTCTACTGGCATGCAGTCATGGACGCAAAACCTCGCACTTCTAGTTGGAATAGCCCCGTTGCTGCAACAATACAGCCTCCTCCGTGTGTCGCCAGCTGCGCCGCGGTTGAATTGCATTGCCCGAGGGATGCTCCCGACCACGAAAGCGAGCTAAATGCAATCGCTAACTCCATCGCGTCGCTTTCTGACTGGTTCAAAAGCGTCGAGAACGAAGTGCGTCACCTTCTAATGCCTTGGCCTCCGCGAAATTTCCGCACCAACAACGAGTGTCCCCGATGCCAAATTTGGCGCCACATAGGCCACATAGCACAACAGTGCTGGCAGCGCCTTCAAAATGGGAGGAATGATCAAGTGGCGCCCATTGAGAACTAGGAAGGACAGTTCAGCCCTTTGGGAAACGAGAACGGCCGGACCTAGGAGGCCAACCCGGTCACCCCATCGGCACATTCTCGAAAAGTCAGCTTCATGCAGTCCCTACACGAAGCAATGGCACAGAAGCACAACATGCAATTGACACCGGCTCGTTCGTAAATTATATCTCACAAGAATTAGCCAACAAAATATGTGCTACATATAAATTCAGAAAGGACATATTCATTAGAGGAATTGGCGGAGGTGGCCTTCCCCAAAGAGAAGCTGAAGTAACACAGGAATTCGGCACCACCAATATTCATGAGAAATTTCTGGTAGTGAAGAATTGCCTATACGAGCTGCTAGGTGGCCGTTCTTTCTGTAGAGCAGCACGACTTGTTCATTTCTCGAAAAAACAGCTGGAACTCAATGGGGAAATTTTCCGGCTACGTGTAGAATCAGGTGCCCCCGGACACAAGGATGTGCTTACAGTGCGGTGCCACGAGCACATGCTCATTGAACCACGCACAGAGGTGACTGTTGAAGTGGAAGTCGCAAGAGACGGGGTCCACCTTCTTGAACCGAACAGCACGCTCAGAAGCGGACTCCACGCGGCACGCACACTAACCAGGATTGTGCATGGAAAAGGGCACATTCATATTGCTAATCCCACCATGTCGCCAGTAAATCTCCTCCCCAGAACAAAGCTTGAATGGGCTCCGTTCATTCATGACGTACGTCTCCATAGAATGATCGAGTGCCCCAAGAATTTCACATAGAGAAAGGGATCACATACAGTTATCTGAACGAGAGAAGCTGCTGTCGCTCATTGAGAAGTACCCTCATCTATTCACAAGCACTGAGAACCTCATCCGGCTAACTCATGCCTAGAATTTATGACATTTTCAACGTGCTTCAGGGGTAAAAATACTTCACCACACTTGATATACTCTCAGGCGACTGGCAAGTTGGTATCAAAGAGGAATATAAGCAAAAAAGCGAATTTGCTTGTGGACCCGGGCTCTATGAATTCAACGTTGTCCCGTTCAGCGTGTGCGATGCGCCAGCCACATTCCAGAGAATGACTGTGTATACAGGATTGTATGGCTTCATTAAGTCCGCCCTGCAAGAAAGCATCGACACCGCCGAGTCTTACCTCGACCACATCAGTTTCAGGTGCTCACCCACGAAGTCGGAGCTCTTGATAGTGCCACAAGGCAGTAGTAGGATTGGGGCATAAAGCGGTAGAGGGTCTCTGCCTTGAAGAAAAAAACCACGAAGTGGATAGACTGGTCTCAGCCCACCAGTGTGCCAGGCATTGTCGTCGCGTGTAAACGTCGTAAATATCTGCAAGTATACGTTTCCTTGTAAGATTATTGGTAGAGGTGCCGGGATACGCCTACCTGGCTTTCCCGGCAAACCAACACGGAACTTCGGAGTGGTCGTCACCTTAATTTTCCTGCAATCGCTCAACAGGCCCACCCACAAGAGCAACAGCAGCCGCAGCAGCAGCAGCAGCTGCTGCTGCCTCCTCTGATTCTCCTGCTTCCACAAGACCCTGGAACCTTCTCGGGCACAGGCAAGGACAAGGTGAATGTTGAAGATTGGGTCGCAATGTACGAGCGCATGAGCGAATACTATAGGTGGGATCCACGTTGATGCTGGCCAACGTTGTATTTTACTTGTGGGATACGGCGCTTACCTGGTATGAGACGCATGAGTCGGAGTTGACCAGCAAGGACATTTGCAAACTGAAGCTTGTCGAGTTGTTAAGCAGGCCATTTGGGCGAAAGCAGGCCACGAGAAAAGAGCTGGAATGTCGCGTGGAGACATCAACACAGTCGTATGTATCTTACATACAGGACGTATTGGGCCTCTGTCGAAAGGTGGACGAGAACATGAGCGAAACTGACAAAATCGCTCACATATTAAAGGGAATTGCCGACGACGCCGTCAATCTTTTGATCGATTGCGCCACCGTCGACGCGGTTTTGAAGGAATCTCAGCGCTTCGAGCACGCCAAGAACCGTCGCATAACCCGCCAGTTTGCGCGTCTGCCTAATACTGCAGCCACTTCAACCTGCGAAGACAGCCCCAAGTTCACGCAAGCTACATCGCCGAAAATGTCACCCGAATCGCTCGCCTTGAACTCGAAGCAATGGCTCCTGTAGCCATCGCCTCCGACGGTTCTCAAAACAACGCATCCACCGTCTCCCTCATCCAAGCCGTCGTTCACCAAGAAATAGCAAATCTCGGCATCGCACCTGTTTGCGCTGTTCGCACTACCGAAATCTCGGCTTCTGTTAACCAGATTCCGGTGTACTCTTCACTCTACCCTTCCCGCTACCGGAACCCTGCTGAATGAAGAACACCGGATGATAGACCGATCTGCTTTCTCTGTTCTCGCACCGGCCACATTGCGCGCTACTGTCGCAATCGTTGGACATCCAATTCATCTTGGAACACAGGGACATTGCCTCGCTTTGAAGGCAACTCTCGCCGGTTTTCTACTCCGTACAATCCACAGCCTTCTCCTACTAACGTTCAGGGCCGAAGGTTCAGCCGGTCACCATCACCCCAAGGCCGCCGATCTCTCTCGCCGATGATATCTTGATCCAGGTTCCCTGCACGACTTGGGCCCTCAACCTTGGTAAACTAGACCATGCAGCTCCTGGAGGTAACGCTCCATTAACGACCTGTTCTGCAAATCCTCCGTTGACGATTTCTACACGCTGCAATATTTTGGACCTTTTGATGGATGACGTAACCGTTACAGCCCTCATATACACTGGCGCACAAATTTCAGTCATGAGCGCTGCTCTCTGTATTAAACGGCGAAAAGTGATCACGCCTCCTAATAAGTGTGCAGTAATGCTTGCCGATGGGAGCACATCTACCGTTCTCGGCATGTGCACCTCTCGCGTGTGTATTGCTGGGCGCCAGACCGTCGTATTGTTCACCGTGCTTGCGCAGCGCCCACATGACGTGATTCTTGGTCTCGACTTTCTCTGCGCACTCCTCCCTTATTGACTGCTCGACGGGTCTTCTTCAAGTGGAACTGCCTTTTGACGCCGCTGTTGCCCGTGATGCTCAAAGTCGCCTTTGTGCCACCGAGTTCCTGCATCTTCCGCCGCAAGCCACGACTTACGTGCATCTCGTGTGTGATCCGCCTGTGCGCAATGGTGAATATGTCGTTTCACCTATTACCGACGTTAAGCTAAAGCATTCCATTGCTGTCCCGCACACCGTGGTGAGAGTACGCCAAAACTAGACCCATTTGTCTCTTTTTAATTTTGGTTTCTCCGTGCACGTGCTGCCTGCTGGTATTAAACTAGGCGTCATGTTGCCGTTGCAAGAGTGTGATATTTCTGGACTGTCGGCTCAGCAACCTACTCCGCACGTCAACTTGCTCACTGTGCCCAACCTGTCAAGCATTGACATTGCCAAAATGATAGCACCAGATCTTTCGCCCTCCGAAGCACAAGACCTCCACAGCCTGTTGACATCCTATGCGGACATATTCGATCTGGACAACCATCCTTTAGGCCAGACATCAGTTGTGACCCATCACATCAACACCCGCGATGCCAACCCAATTCATAGCCACCCTTACCGTGTCTCCGCTGACGAAGGCTCTGTCATCCAGAGAGAGGTCGAGAAAATGCTCGCCAAAGGCGTCGTCGAACCCTTATCTAGTCCGCGGGTATCCCCGGTTGTGCTTGTCAAGAAAAAGGACAACACATGGTGGTTTTGCGTCGACTATAGACATCTCAACAAGGTTACTAAGAAGGACGTTTACCCCTTACCAAGAATAGAAGACGCCCTTGACTGCCTTCATGGCGCAAAGTTTTGCTCGTCCATTGACCTTCGATCTGGTTATTGGCAGATCTCTTTTGACCCACAAGACCGAGAAAAAACAGCCTTTGTAACCCCCGATGGGTTATACCAATTGAAGTAATGCCGTTTGGGCTTTGAAATGCGCCGGCCACCTTTGAGTGCATGATGTATTTCCTTCTGCGCGGCTTCAAATGGTCCACTCGCTTATGCTACTTAGATAATAAAATTCTTTTTTCAATGATGCTCGGGAGCCATCTTGAGCGACTGTCCAGTATTCTCCAAGTATTCCGCAACGCTGGTCTCCAGCTGAACTCCTCCAAAGGCCGTTTCGGCCGTCGCGAAATAACTGTACTTGGTCACCTCGTTAACGCATCTGAGCTACAACCCGATCCGGGTAAAATACGCGCAGTGACCCAATTTCCCGTACCCTCTTCTCCTAAGGATGTCCGGAGTATCCTTGGTTTGTGCTCCT